AGACACACACCCCCGTGCTACACACAGCGCCCGCGTCCCCGACACAGAGCCCCACCCAGACACACACCCCCGTGCTACACACAGCGCCCGCGTCCCCGACACAGAGCCCCACCCAGACACCCCCCCCGTGCTACACACAGTGCCCGCGTCCCCGACACAGAGCTCCACCCAGACACACCCCCTGTGGCCTTTTAAATGCCGTGTAGACATTTGGGCTCAGACTGGCGCTCGAGCTCTAGGACCTTGGCAGGAGGGAGGGTCCCAGAGCCGAACGTCTACACTGCAATTAAAGAGCCCCTTACCGGAGCCTGAGTCAGCAGTTGGGATCTAACTGCAGTGTAGACACACCCTGTGTGGGTGAAACCAGACAATTGCTACACTCTGGAACGAACGCACACAGGACAACGATAAAAGACAAAACCACCCCATCGCCTGCGGGTGAACACGGCTCACAAAGTGATCACGCTGCATGTGACCTCTCCGTCGTCAGCCCCAACGGAAACCCGCACAGCGCTTACATTCAGATCTCTGCTGGACACTACAATCATGGTCTTCACAAAGACACTGGCTTATTACAACACTAACCCCGCTTTCTGTCCTGTGACTGCAGGGCTGTCCCTTAGCCCCTTCACCTTGAATGAGCCCTTAGAATATGTGCTAACTGCTTATTCTAAACTATCGGTTTGATCTTGTATTTAGCCGGGACACACCACGGCTACACTACAGACCTATATCGGGAGAACTAGGTCACTCGGGGATGTGAAAAATCCCCCAGTGCAGACAGCACTAGTGGCTTCGCCAACACAGGTACTGCCTCTCGCTGGTGGAGTAAGTAAGCCGACCGGAGACCCTCTGCCATCAGTGTGTCACGGAGTGTGGGGGGGACACAAGGCCCTGCACCCCCGGCTTCCTGCGATTCACCATGACTCTCAGCCAGCCAGTAAAGCAGAAGGTTTATTTAGATGACAGGAACACAGTCCAAGACAGGTCTTGCAGGCACAGACAACAGGGCCCCCTCAGTTAGGTCCATCTCGGGGTCCCAGGGCACCCCAGCCCCCTTGGGAGGTCAGAGCCCCATCTGCCTCCCAGCCATATCACCAGCCAGCTCCTGAAACTCTCCCTTCAGCGACCCCTCCCACGGCCTTTGTTCAGTTTCCTGGGCAAAGGTGTCACCTGGCCTCTAACCCTTTCCTGGGTTCTCACCTTACATGCTCCCGTGTCTTCCCTCAAGGCCAGTCTCCCATCCCCCAATGCAGACCATCCTAGCCACACTCCCCTGCCTTCCCAGCCAACACTCCCCACTCAGCATTCAAAGACCACATTAGGAACAGTCCCAGTTCGTCACACAGTGTAAGCACTGCACTGGTGCAGCTGTGTCGCTGAGCGTGAGGACAAGTGGGCGCTCCGAGTACCTTTCCCCGCGCTGACAAGGAGCTCCGTGTAACTCGGAAGCTGGTCTCTCTCACCAACACAAGCTGGCCCCTCACCCACCTTGTCTCACCACGTGTTTCAGCCTGGAGACCAGAGAGCAAAGCGGGTGTCTGGAGCCCCTTGGCTTACAGGTACCAGTGGGGTAAAGGCAGGGACGCCCCCTTCAGCCCCCTGTGAGCCGCAGAGGCAGGAGAGTTTCCTTCGAGGCACAGAGCAAGGACATGGTTTTACTGAACAGGGAGAGAGGGCAGCCAGACTGTGATGGGGCCCATGGAGACCAAAGGGGGTGTGAGGAGAAGAGCCCTTGTGAGCTGCCTTCACCAACAGCACACCCCCTGAATCCTGCCCCTGTAGCCCTTGAGAGGGTCAGCAGAGCAGGATGGCACCAGGCCACCCTCCCCTGGGAGCCCTGCGGTGCCAGGGCAGGCGGGAGAGGCCTGAGCCTCTCTGGTTTTGAGGAGGATACTGCCAGTGCCCTTCCTAGCCCTCCAAAGTGCATCTCTCCAGGTATCCCACAGCCCTCATCACTGAGCGCCGCCCCTTGACTTACCCTCACGGCACCTTGGGAGGGGTGGCAGTGCCACCAGCCCTGGTGATGGGGAAACTGAGGCACGGAGCCACAAAGGGACTCGCCCATAGCCAGAGATGGAGTCTGTGCCAAAGCCAGGATGTGACTCCAAGTCACCCAAGTCCCAGCCCTGTGCTCTACCCACTAAACCATCCTCCCTGATGCCAGGTGACGGGCACGCCACAGACACGTGTGGTGGTCGCAGCCATGCGGTCATTACGGCAGGGGCCTCGGGGGCTGACTCACGTTCTTGAACTCTCTGAAGGGGACGAACTGCACAATGTCCCGGAGGACGGGCTCCCCCTTCGGGGAGCGCAGGACCCCGTCGTCCCCGTCCAGGATCTGCATGTCGGTGAAGTCCGCGTTGCCCACCCCTACGATGATGATGGACATGGGGAGGTAGGAGGCCCGCACGATGGCCTCCCGCGTGTCTGCCATGTCGGTCACCACCCCGTCCGTCAGGATCAGCAGGATGTAGTATTGCTGTGGGGCAAAGGCGAGAGAGCGGCTATGGGTTACTGGGCAGAGCGGGGCTAGCGCCCCCCCCCAGCCATCCCACTCGGGAGACCCCTGTCCCAGGCGGTGACCGATTCCTTGCTCCTCTTCTAGCCCCGTCTTACGGCCGCTGGGCCCCGACTCCCCCAGCACCCCAGACACAGAGTGGGGTCAGCGCACAGGCTGAGGACGATGCATTAGCTGCCGTCATTAATTGATAGGCTCAGCCGGCGTTGTAAATGATTCAGTGAGCAAATAGCTGGGCAGGTCCCAGAAGAAAATGACATTTTCCTAAAACGTTCCACGTCCGCGGGTGTAAATAATTGACGGGATTTTAATGAAAGGCCCCCGCCCGCCCTGCCCAGTGCACACACGCACACAGAGCCAGTCCATGGCAGACGCCCCGAGGCCAAGTGCCAGGTGAGCGGGGTGTTGCGTGGAGACTGGGATAACTGGCCCCACTGGACCCTGGCACTGCATCTCCGGAGCCAGGAATCTGGTCCGTGAATCCCTGTCACTCCACTACCCCCCCAAGAGCTCTGTGCAACCTCTGGCCTTTTCTTACTCGGCTGGCCTGGCCCAGTGACGCCACCCTGACCCGCCAGAAACAACACCGGCCCCGGAGGGTTTGGCTATTTATTCACAGCTGATCGAATGTTGCTGGAGGACAGGAGGACACTGCATGAGCAGAGGGGAGAGGAGGCCTGTTCTGAGGCGCCCCTGGAACTCGGGATCGTCTAATAAGCACTTGGCTTCTGTGACGTGCTCCAGGTCCACCAGGGCCGAGCGCGCCGGCTGTGCTGTGGAATGGGCCGCAAATGTCCGTTCAGGCAGACGCCCTGCATGTGAGGACTGGGCGCGTGCTGCCATGTTAAACGTTCCTGGCACGTGCAGCTGAGGTAGGAGCTGGCGTTCCTTCGATGGCCAGGGGCTAGCCCTGATGCCCAGCTAGCAGCCACGGGGCTGACAGTAGCAGTGCCGAGCCATGCTGGGCAGGACTGGCCTCTCCCTGCTAGGCCTGAGTCCCGAGTGATGGGCCTTCCCCACAGCCTGGAATGTCTCACTGAGGAAGCTCTCAGCTGAAGGTTCATGTTCTTTCACCCTATCTCTGCTCGGTGCACCCCCTCCTCCCCGCCACTAACTCCTGCTCCCGCCTGGTGCTTGCACTACCGCAGGCTCTCCGAGGAGCAGACGCAGCATCCGCCACAGCTGTGCCCTTCCCGCTGAGGGGTGCAGGGTGAACTCAGCCTCCCAGCACCCCGGGAGCGATACAACCCCAGGGGGCAGATGAAGAACTTTTGAAAAGTGCCCCGCTGTCTTAGGAGCCAACGTCCCATTTGCCAAGCTGGCATCGGACCCTCTCTGAGTCACTGGGCCGTAGTCGCTTTGACAATGTTACCCTAAGCGCCACGGTAGCAGCCTCTCGCCGCGGGACTCAAACCCTGGAGAGATCACATGTGAAAGGAGTTAGGAGGGTCTCAGCCAGGTCCCTCACGTTGCAAACCCCACACGCTATGGGCACAGCTGGCACTCTGTGCCCAGCCCAGGACTGTGCCCTCACAGAGCCGCGTGGCAGAGGCTTACACAGCACAGCTGGACAGTCTACATCCAGGCAGAAGCAAGTGCCGGAGATCCCAGGCCCCTCGGCCTGCGGGGCAGGCAGCGCCGTAGGAACAGGGCAGGTACTCACAGAGGCCTCCTTCGTTCTCTCCTCCGCCGCCGCCACCCTGGCCACCTTGGAGATGATGGGGGACACGTTGGTGGGGCCGTAGAGCTGGATTTTCGGCAGGCAGTTCTGGTAGGATTCCACCACGCCCTGAATTCCTAGCGGGGGACATCAAATCGGGTGAGGAGCCGCCCGGCCCAGGGCTGCTAACCTCTCCCTGCCCATCCCCAGTGAGGACACGAATGAGGCAGGTCCAGGCCCCACTGCCCGGCTCCACCCACATGCCCAGCAGACGGGCTGCAGCCATTCCTCGTGGGGGCGCTGACAGCGGTCAGGGAGCGAGGCCGGGGCAGCCTCGGGACGAGGCCCCCGGGTTGGAACATGGTCCATTTCCCGCGCAGAGGCAGGAGGGGAAGCGTCCGTGCTCAGCAGGGAGAGAGGGGGTGGGAACAGGGCCGTCGAGGGCAGCAGCACACCGGCCCGCAGCCCCCTCC